AGCACCTGTGACCATAAGTTTGATTATTTATAGGAATGAAGTAAGAACTGACACAGACATCTTTGAGGTTCTTCCATTATTCAGTTCAGTTCAGTCGCTCAGTTGTGTCTGACACTTTGCGACCCCATGAATCAAAGCATGCCAGCCCTCCCTGTCTGTCACAACTCCCGGAGTTTACCTACACCCATGTCCATCGAGTTGGTGATGCCATCCAGCCATCTCATCCTCTGTCATCCCCTTCTCCTCCTGCCCCCAGCCCTTCCAAGCATTAGGGTCTTCTCCATTATTGGGACCAATCAACTGGAATATAATAAGAAGAAGTTAGAGGAAGGCTTGACACCAAAGAAAATCTTCTGAAACAGTTGGGGTTTCAGCTGATGCAAAGGGTAGAAGAAAGTGAACTTTAAAGTGCCAGAGTACCCCGCTAAATGAAATGAGATGTGGAGGTTCTTGTTCAGAGGGGGTAGAGAGAAGGAACCCCTTTTAAAAACCTAGATTGAAATAACATCTGATGTACTTACAGAACCTGTAATTCTGCTATCATATGATTACTGATGAATTGGATAAAGGGCTTTTCCTGGGCACATCTCAGAAATGCGCTAAGAGAAACTTGGGAGACGGGTGGAATCGGTGACTTGGACGTAGGACAAGCATTTCCTCTCCCGATCTGAGGAAGCAGGCCTCAGAGACCAGTCCAGTAGGAAGCACTGATTCTGAAAGCACAAGGCCAGGACAAAGGTCTTAGACCTGTCAGCTTCTGTGCTTTGGTACTCGTTTGCTCTTGACTTTGTTTTGCAGTGAAAAACTTTTTGGAAAGAAAAAAAGGATGCTGGGTTTCGGCGGCCCAGTGGCTGAGGGACTAGTGGAGCCCCTCTCAGCCCGCGGGTGGGGGGTGAGGTCCTGCTTGAGGTGCACGCAGCCTGGGCAGCAGCAGCTGAGCTCAGCCCGTCCCGGAGCCCGGGGCCTCGGGCAGGCGTGGGGTACACCCATGGGGCGGGCAGAGGCGGGCCGGGGGCGCTGGCCTCTCCCCCAGGGGCCCAGCGCTGCACCCACCTAGGCTCAGACACGGGGCGGCTTCAGAGAGGCTGGTAGATGGGGTGAGATCCGCAGAGCGCTTTGCCAGGGACTTAAGGCTGACTTGCAGGGAAGGGCCCAGGCGGGGCGGGGGTGGGGGTGGGGGGGGGTGGCTGAGCAGGAGGAAATCACGTGGTCATGGAAGGGGAGACAGGGGAGACCCTCCGGCGGCAGCATGGACCTTATGAAGCCCACTTCTAAGACGAGCGTGCAAATCCTGTGAACTGCCGTGGCTAGCTCCAGCCTGCTCATTGTGCCTGTCACTGTAACTCGGTAAACCAGGCCCCATTCTGGGGGACTCAGAGGGAAACTGCATTATACTTCCAGCAGTGTTAAGGGAAACCGAGGCTTTCAACCTAATGAAGCCCGCTTGCTGTAGATATGAGGCTCCATCTTCCCTGTTAGTGGCTTTATCGCATATAAAACCAGCCTTCCTTTCTGCAATTAAATCAGCACAAGATGAATGTGTCTCATTCCCTGACGGAAAGGCCTTGAGGTGCCGGAAGGGAAGCACTCTAATAAACGTTTATCTCAGCTACTGACCAAACCCCAGCACTGGCTGCGCTGAGAATGGTGAGCCACTGCCCCAAGCCTTCAGCATGACCCAGAAAGAAACTTCGGTGTCCAAACTAGGCAATGAAGAGATTGGGATGAACTGTGAGACCTGCGGGGATGGGAGAAACGTGATTATATCCGGTCCGAGCCCCTCACCTCCCCATCTCAGAGAAGGCATTTCTGACCTCTCTGTCTAGAGGTCTCCCGAGACCTACACCCCCATCAACCCACCTACAGTGGTTGGAAGATGAATAGCAGGGTCTGCGGCCTCTTTCTCCTATGAGAGCCGTGTGGTAGAACAGGGCTTCACTATTTCTCATGATACGACCGAGCTCTTTAAAAGTGAAACCCCTTTTAATCTCTAAAAGAAGGGAACAGAAGTCCCTGAGCAGCCATAAGGAAAACCCTAAGATGCGCTCAGACAGAAAAGTTCTCCCAAGAAACGCGTCGCTCAGCACCAAAACAGCCCTTTCAGCGTGGGTGGAAAGGTGAAAGGCGTTTCCTCACACGCTGTTCCCCAGGAACCATGATGTTTCCAAGCCTCGCCTCCTGTAACAACCGCATCCCACAAGCGTCAGGCCCAATTCACATACATCCACCGCTTCTCAACCCTGTTGCTTCTGGGGGACTAGGGATTGACTGATCCTTGTTTCATTCGGTGCAGTCAAGGGACACGATGGCGTTTGAGATTCAGAAACAACAAGCAAGCCAACTTAACCTTAAAGGAAGCTAGGAAACTGGGATATACTGGGTAGTCGTTTTCATGTACACAAAGATTACTTGGTATCTTTAGTTTTATTTACCAAGAAGCGGAGTTTACACTGAAATTTAACCATCAAAAATGAAATTTGATCATTAAATTTATTTCCTTCTGTTCACCTTTGGTTGCAAATACCAGCTTGTACCAGTGCTGTGATCTGATCAGAGTGCTGGGAAAAGCCATGTTTGTTTAAACAACAGCCGCTGTTCTTGGACTTTGGAAACTCATCCAGCCTTAAGTCACTGCCATGCACTTTCAAGCAAGCCCCCATCTGAGCAGACGTCAGTTTGGGTCTCTGTCTCAGGCTCCCGGCCACACGGCCGCGCGTAAGTTATGCGCTTCTCGACTGCCCAGTTGTTTCAGCCGTAAACAGGAAGCGGCCTCATCAGTGCGCTGCGAGGAGAAATTCAGATAAGGGCTAGAGGTGCTGGCGGGCTTCCCTGGTGAGCCAGGTGGTAAGCAATCTGCCTGCAGTGCCAGAAACCAGGGTTTGGTCCCTGAGGGGAGCAGCAGCCCGCTCCAGCGCTCTTGCCCGGGACGTCCCAAGGACGGAGGAGCCTGGGGGGCTCCAGTCCACGGGGTCACGGAGAGTGGGGCACGGATGAGTGACTCGCCCACACACGGGAGGTGGTGTCAGACCCTGGGCGAGTGCCCCGCGGATGGGAGGTGTTAGTGCTGGGGTAATAGCATTGCTGTTGTTCAGTTTCTCTGGCTGAGGGTATATAAACCAGGCAGAAGAGGCTGGGGCTGGAGCAGTCACTCTGTCTTCAGTTTTGATTTGCTTGCTGCCCTCTATGGCAATGAAAGGGCATCAGTGAGGCTTTTGAGAGAGTGGATCCAATTTTTTTTTTTCCTGTATTCAAGTGTTGCCCTCTTTGTTTGGTCATGAACACACTGCCACGATGAATAATGAAAATTCTATAATGTTTCCAGTCAAGTTCTGCCTCTTGGCAGCCACGGCCAGACTCGCCCTGCCGCTGTCGTTTACAACAGGGCCTCCAGCCTGTCACTTGCAGCGACCCCGCTGTGGGGGCAGCTGCTCACGGGCGTTTCAAGCAGGAAGAAAGTGGCTGAGCCAGGAGCCCCTCCACGCGGTCGGGGCACTGGGAAACAGTAAGCCCCTCCAAAGGAGGGAGACTTCTGCCTCGAACCCAGGCCAAGCAGCTAAACACAGGATCTTCCTGAGATCTTGGTAATTACAACAAAGGCCCAGATCATTTACAGCGCTTGGAGACCTGAACAGTTACGAGGAAACCAGTGAGGCACAAGGCTAAGGCTTCAGGGAAAGGAGATCCGTTTGGCCAGCCCTTTACGCCTTCCTTGTAGGAGCTGAGAATGTCTCAATGCACGTACATTGGATAACAATGCATAGCTGGGGCTTATATACAACTCTGTCAAATACATAACACAGTATCTCCTTGAAGACTCCAAATTCAATAACCTATCTGGGAAATCTGAGAATTCTTCCTCCACCAGAATGGGAAAGATGTTCAGAAAAGTTATCTTCCCACGGGTTGTTTGAGAAATGCTAGTTTCTTGGACTGTCAATAGGTTTTACACAAAAGGTATATCTAAATTCATCCAAATCAAAATAATAAGATAAATAATTTATAAGTTAAATAATTGAATAAAATTAAATAAGATTCTTTATTCCCCCAAACTCAGAGCTTTTAATATGTTGATATACCCTGTGTATAGCATTTTCCAAATATGTTTAATTAGAGAGAAAGAGACTTAGAGAGAGACCGAGGGGAGTAAGATGACTGCAAGAACTGTTTTCTCTGGGGAACACTTTGGGAAAAGCCCTGGAAACATAAGCATCCTGAGAACAGGGACATTTTAGTTTTCTGTATTACTCCTAGACCTCCAGCATAATGCCTGCAATGGAATAGGTATTCAATAAATCATTTATTAAATGAATTAATGAGCGCTAAAGCAGTTCTTCAAATTTATTGATAAATTCTTACACAGCAAGAAAACAGTTTCTGGTCAGGCCAAAGAATGGTTGCTGAGATATCTCACTTGCTAAAGGGCACAATCAATTTTCTGGTAAAATTCAGAATAATTGAGAAAATAAGAAAGAAACTGATATTTCAGGGAATGAAAGCACATCACATATCTAGTAAGAGAAACTGCTTGAGAACAGGAAACTCAGTGAATGAGGCTTCTGCAGAGAAGCTCTACAGGATGCTGTCTCTCATCCGCTCACGCACTGCGACCCAAAGGCTGGCCTGGCCCCAAGACTGGCACCTCCGCTCATCCTCAGCAGTGGCGCCCCAGGGAGGTGAGGGCCCCGCTGTGTGGCTCCCTCATGGTGTTGGCGGGACAGGAGGGAACTGGGTGAAGGAGGAACGTTCCTCCGTCTGGACCACCCTTCTGCAGCCCTGACGCTCAGCGCGCCCCACCCCACACACCTGGCCGCCCTGCCCTGGCTGCAGACTCTGTGACCGCTCAGCGCGGTGCAGACCATCTGGACCTCTGCCTGAGGGCAGCGTGGGTGACGAGGGCCCCACTGAGGACCCCACCGAGGAGCTGCAGACGCGATGAGGAACCACACATGGGCGCCAGGAGGCCCGTTGCAAGCCTGGCCCCTGTCCCCATGGAGACTTACAGGATGCCAGGCGGGGAGCTGGGGCCGTCCACACCTGGCAGGTAGCTGATACAGGGAAGTACAACATTTCAGCTATCAGGGGGGAAAAGACCAAACGGTTTGATAACCACCTACATTAACGCATTGATGTATTCTGAGAAGACTAGGCTGGTGAAGAATTTTGGGGAGACCAGCAAATTATCAGCATTCTCTGTTGAAGGCAAAGAAGGTGTTACTATCTAAAGCAAGATGATTAAGTTGCAATTCTTCAGTGTACAAAAATACTTTTAAATCTCTAGCAGAATATCTACAATCAAGCATAGGCTCTGCTTCCTATGCCAGCAGCTGCTACATTTTAAGTGCTTTCCTAGGAATTCTATGTTGCCAAAAATACAATTATTATATTTTTCAGTTACTTCAGAAAAGTTTACAACAAACTGTTGCAAAACGTCAGAATCTGAAATAAGAATCTGCAAAGAAACTTGTTTCAATCACATTCATCTTAGCCTGAGGTGCAAGCTCGGCGACCCCATCTTGGTAGATGGGGTTTCGTCTGCCTTGTGAGCACCGTGTAACTTATCCCCACGGTTGGGTTCTACCACTGGAGCCCTGAGCCCTGGGGGACTGCCTGTTGAGCTGTTTTCTGTGTGCGGAAGATCCAGGAGGTGTCTTCTGGCTGATGCTGCTGTTCTCTTAGAGCAGCTGCACCCCGGCAGTAAGGACAGTCCTCTCCAAACTGATCTCATGGGATTCAGAGCAACAGGGGGCATTAGGGAGTTCTAGACCTCAGACTGCCTTTAACTTCTATGTGCTATGACTATTTTAAAATAAGAAGACTAAAGCCATTTCACAAATATTAACAGTTTTCAAAAAACAGCTGTTGTTCAGTCGCTATGTTCAACTCTTGTTTGTGACTCCATGGAATGCAGCATGCCAGGCTTCGCTGTCCTTCACTATCTCCCAGAGTTTGTTCAAATTCATGTCCATTGAGTTGGTGATGCTATCTAATCATCTTATCGTCTCCCGCCCCCTTCTCCTTTTGCTTATAATTTTTCCCAGCATCAGGGTCTTTTCCAGTGAGTTAGCCCTTCACATCACGGGGCCAAAGTATTGGAGCTTCAGCTTCAGCATCAGTCCTTCCAGTGAATATTCACGACCAATCTCCTTTAGGATTGACTGGTTTGACCTCCTTATTGTCCAAGGGACTCTCAAGAGCTCTCCAGCACCACAATTTGAAAGCATCAGTTCTTCACCGCTCAGCGTCTATGGTCCAACTCTCACAACCAAACAGCATTACTGGGAAAACCATAGCTTTGAGTATGCGGACCTTTGACAGCAAAGTGATAGCTCTGATTTTGATAAAACAGAAGGCTGTGCCTAAACAACTGGACTATGCCAGGGCCTTAGCTGACCTCTGGAAAGGAGAGGAAAACTCTGACTGATGGAGTGCCTACTGTATGCTATTAACTCGGCTTCAAATGATCACATCTATGGTCTTATTTAATAGTCACAAATCCCTGCTATGTTATTTTCCCCATGTTCCAAGAAGGGATGCTCAGATATTAAGAAATTCATTCAGGCAACTTAGATCCTATAAGCCATGAATTATGCCGCAGAGCCAGCATTTGAAACCTGATCTGCCTAAAACCAAAGTCCAGGCTCTTCCACCAAATAATCAGGAAAGATTACATTAATTTGGTCAGTTTATTAAGAAAATATTTGAAATGTTCTTGAGCTACTCTGTCCAACAGGAAGTTATCAGAACAGTTTACCAACTCTCTTATTATCAGTTCAGTTCAGTACAGTCGGTCAGTCATGTCCAACTCTTTGCAACCCCATGGACTGCAGCACGCCAGGCCTCCCTGTCCATCACCAACTCGCGGAGTTTACTCAAACTCATGTCCGTCAAGTCGGTGATACCATCCAACCATCTCATCCTCTGTCGGCCCCTTCTCCTCCTGCCTTCAATCTTTCCCAGCATCAGGGTCTTTTCCAATGAGACAGTTCTTCACATCAGGTGGCCAAAGTATTGAAGTTTCAGCTTCAGCATCAGTCCCTCCAATGAATATTCAGGAATGATTTCCTTTAGGATGGACTGGTTGGATCTCCTTGCAGTCCAAGGGACTCTCAAAACTCTTCTCAAACACCACAGTTCAAAAGCATCAATTCTTCGGCATTCAGCTTTCTTTATAGTTTAACTCTCACATTCATATATGACTACTGGAAAAACCATAGCTTTGACTAGATGGACTTTGTTGGCAAAGTAATGTCTCTGCTTTTTAATATGCTACCTAGGTTGGTCATAGCTTTTCTTCCAAGGAGTAAATGTCTTTTAATTTCATGGGTGCAATTACCATCGGCAGTGATTTTGGAGCCCAAAAAACAAAGTCTGCCACTTTTTCCATTGTTTCCCCATCTATTTGCCATGAAATGATGGGACGGGATGCCATGATCTTAGTTTTCTGAATGCTGAGTTTTAAGCCAACTTTTTCACTCTCCTCTTTCACTTTCATCAAGAGGCCCTTTAGTTCCTCTTCACTTTCTGCCATAAGGGAGGTGTCATCTGCATATCTGAGGTTATTGATATTTCTCCTCATGCTCTTGATTCCAGCTTGTGCTTCATCCAGCCTGGCGTTTCTCATGATGTACTCTGCATAAAAGTTAAATAAGCAGGGTGACAATATACAGCCTTGATGTACTCCTTTCCCGATTTGGAACCAGTCTGTTGTTCCATGTACAGTTCTAACTGTTGCTTCCTGATCTGCATACAGGTTTCTCAAGAGGCAGGTTAAGTGGTCTAGTATGCCCATCCCTCTCAGAATTTTCCACAGTTTATTGTGATCCACACAGTCAAAGGCTTTGGCATAGTCAATAAAGCAGAAGCAGATGTTTTTCTGGAACTCTCTTGCTTTTTCAATGATTCAATGGATGTTGGCAATTTGATCTCTGGTTCTTCTGCCTTTTTTAAAACCAGCTTGAACATTTGGAAGTTCACGGGTCACACACTGTTGAAGCCTGGCTTAGAGAATTTTAAGCATTACTTTGCTAGCATGTGAGATGAGTGCAATTGTGTGGTAGTTTGAACATTCTTTGGGATTGCCTTTCTTTGGGATTGGAATGAAAACTGACCTTTTCCAGTCCTGTAGCCACTGCTGAGTTTTCCAAATTTGCTGGCATAATGAGTGCAGCACTTTCACAGCATCATCTTTTAGGATTTGAAATAGCTCAACTGGAATTCCATCACCTCCACTTGCTTTGTTCGTGGTGATGCTTCCTAAGGCCCACTTGACTTCACATTCCAGGATGTCTGGCTCTAGGTTGGTGATTACACCATTGTGGTTTTCTGGGTCATGAAGATCTTTTTTGTGTAGTTCTTCAGTGTATTCTTGCCACCTCTTCTTAATATCTTCTGCTTCTGTTAGGTCCATACTGTTTCTGTCCTTTATTGAGCCCATCTTTGCATGAAATGTTTCCTTGGTATCTCTAATTTTCTTGAAGAGATATCTAGTCTTTCCCATTCTATTGTGGATGTTAGTGGTAAATAGATGTTGATAAGCTATTGTATTGAAATATTGACACCATTAATGTCACAGTGAAACTTCACTTTCTTTTGATTTACCCCCATCTTTTCAGTTTCTGTTACAGATATGGGATCATCCTGAAATCCACTCACATCCATGTTTTGGGGTTTTTTTTGGGGGGGGGGTCATGGTGGTCATTGTTTATCAAGTAAAAATCTTAAACTACTGAATCTTATAGTCTGTATTAAAAAAGAATTAAATATATTGTCGTTACTAACTCATTTGACCAATTTATTCATTATGAATTTACAACACTTTCTGATTACTAAACACCTTCAGGCATTACATAAACAATTTCCAATTGAGCATGTCTTCAGGTATTCTGATATAGTACCAAATAGCACTTGTAATGATTTTCTTCCTTAGATGGGAAAAAGTGTTGTACTATCACTGAAAAGCAACCTGGAGACGCATGTTACTGCGTTTAGAAAGAACTGTCTCATACCACGGTTAAAAAAAAAATAATAATTAAAGTGTGCAAAATGTGAAGCATTTTGGTGAGTGATTTCACACACAAGCTGCTAAGTTCTGCAGGGTATGGCCAAGACTAGCCTTTAATCTCTATGGGGGCCATAACTGCCATAAATTCTTATTCGCTGTCAAATGTCTTTTGCAGGGGTATTAGAAAAGATAGGCGGTAGGAAATCCTTCCAAAATACCTTACTTTATTTTTTGACCTGATTTTATTATCATTACCACTTTATGTCTGTTGATAGCTCAAAATGTGCACATTTTATCAGCCCCAGGTAGAATCACGAAGCAGGCTTCATGATGCCTTGGTGTTTGCGCCACTCTGCTTTCCAGGATCTCACTCACACTCCCTGCCAGCAAGGTTCATGCCCCATGAACCTAACTCCTGCTCCCTGTCCAAAACACTTTATAACGACTTTAAGGTTACATTCTCAGCAAAACGCAGGCCATGTGATCTACTGCTCCACATTCATGGATCACCCTGTTACCTCTCACAGCTAAAGACTTTTCACGAGAAGCTGGGCCTGCAGCCATGGAGAAGCAGACTCACTGAGGGGTCCCCCTCCCGCAGTGGGCGTGCCCTCCAGGGTGCTTTGCTGGCTCTCAATGTGCGCGGCTTTTGTTTCTATCGAGTTCACAGACATGCTTGGTAGGCTGACTTGATTCCTTGGGCCTCACTTCTGTCGCTCTGTGCAGAAAACCAAACTACCCCATAGTTGCCCAACTTCGATGCTACTGTCCTAGTGCTGGACACACACTCCTAGTTTTAAAACCTTTCAGAATTTGTGCATGTGCACGTAATCTTTTTCTCAGTTGGGTCTGACTCTTTGTGACCCCACGAACTATAACCCTCCAGGCTCCTCTGTCCATGGGATTTCCCAGGCAAGAATACTGGAGTGGATCTGGAGTGGATTGCCATTTCCTTCTCCAGGGGACCTTCTCAACCCAGGGAGTGAACTCACGTCTCCTGCATTAGCAGGCGGATCCTTTACCACTGAGCCCCCTCAGAATTTG